AGTGTCTATTAATTAAAATTAACAGAAAAATTCAATATACCGTCAAATATTTTCCAAATCAACTTATATAGTTACTATTTTTATAACTTTGTATAAAAATGAGTAGCCAAAGTGTGTATCCAAACATAGTGCTGATATTTGAATAGAAGATATTTAAAAATATCGCCATCAATGAAGTCATCTTCAGGCTGCTAGATTTTCATAAAAAATCGGAATTGACATTTTATTAATTTTACGTCAAAGAACACTCGGTAGAAATTGTTTTAAGGGATACTGTATATAATAAATTTGACATTCTAGTATATAGTAGAATATAAATGAACTCTTATTAACTTTTTTCCATAACTTCAAATTTTCCTATTTGTTTATTGCCAATATTGTCACAGCCACAGCCATCTATTTTATGTTTAGTGTAGGCAGTTTCCTTTTTATTCTAAATCCGCAAATAAATTCTAACAGAATAAACCCGTTGCTGCAAAGCCTGCTTGTATTAAGGCGGACAAATTCCATTTAGCAAGATCTACATTATCTGAAATTAATCGATTCGTTATGACAAGGAAGCGGGAGTGGGAGAGGGCAAAGGGCCTGGACCTGAATCTCTAAGGAAAACTAATCAACAAGACGGCGTATTAGCTTTTGTTTGGAGAGGATAGCTTTCATTTCCGGATGCTATTGTTCAGGAACAACGTATGATCGATCTTTATCTTAGAAACATACATTTAATTAAATGGGTGGCTTCTCTGGGGTTACATTACTGATTAAAACACGCAATTCTGATTTGAGCCATTTAGATTGTTGCATTTTGAAAAATTAGTATTGGTTTAGTAGTATTAGTATTTTTTAAAGTTGTAATACATAAATAACAAATTGTAACGTGATTACTCTGTCAAAGAAACGGGTGGCGTTAGGAATAACTTAATTAGTCTTTTGTTTTTTACCATACCCTTTTTATTAGTGGACATTTTGAGGAAAAGGAAATATTTAATGGCATATCATTTTATTTTCTGTAAAAAAGCTAAAGGATATGTAACTTATTTAATTGGCAATCAACTAACCAGGTTTTTAATGTACAAGGTATCTCTCTTTAACACCCTGTATGTCGAAAACGATGTTTCAAGACATACGTATGAACTTTTCTTTTTATTTTTACGTGTTGCGTGTAATTAGAACACCCTGTAGTATGGTAAATTTTCGAAGGTTCTTTTGTAAGCGTTATAATTTTATACAACAGTTATTTAATGTTTTTTTATGTTTAACACATTAGCAACTTAGTATAAAGTAAAATCGAAGATATTTTCTTTGGTCACTTTCCTCGAGTGAAAATAGACCAATGTTTAGTACTATTTTACTTGAGATGTTGCGGGTCATAAAAGTTTTTTTTCTACATTTTTTTTAACTAAAGATGAACTTTGTTGGCAAAGATTTTGAAAAATGTTTTATAAAAACTCACTTTGTTTATTGTAAAAAAAGGAATGTTTGTTGCGTGTTAGCTAAATGCATTATTCCAAAAAATAAAAATAATTTTAAATTTCAGACCTTGTCAATTATGGACAGTTGTTTTGCTAAATTTGAACACATGAGTATAGTAAATATGTTTTGCGATTTATACCAATTTATTTCTATTAATGTCAGTATACACAGTTATAGGCTTTCGAAAATAGGACAACATAGTTAAATTTGCAAGACTATAAGTATCTTGACTCTTGAATATGGGTAAGTTGGTTTAAATCTTAAAAAATATTTACTTGCAAATATAACAAAATACTCAACTCATTAGTTAGACTAGAATCCCTCTAAATACGGGGCTGTCAGTTACAGACATTTTTCTCCGGTACGCTGCATTTTGGCAACATGCAAGAAGTCTTTTTAAAAGTAAATATCGTCTTCTTCTTCTTCCAAATTTTAATTGAGCTTCTCCTTCATTAGCTGCTGCAATCGTTATTATTCTCAATTGTAAGAATACAATTATTACAAAAATATTTGAATTTGCTATTAGCCTTTCCGTAAAATCAGGTTTAAAGTTACCTGAAATAAATTACCTTCAAAATTAGTAAGATATTATCTCTAATATTGTTGATACGCTATTCCCATATTATGAAAATCAATTAAGTTAATGTTTTAACAAGCATTGAATTATTGTCTAGAATTATTTATTTGTAGAATATTTTTCGTTAAGCAAAACCGTTTTCATAAAAATAACACTAAACTTATTCTTTTGGCACAAAAGTTTGTTTCACTAATTTTTTTAATTTATTCATATGTGGCAAACAACCCAAAAAATAAAGAAAACATTAGAAATATATGATAGATATCTGTTACATCTCAACTGGTTACTCTACTCAAATTAGGTCTTTAATACTGCCCAACTAGCAGATAGTGACCTGTTAAACTGTATGTATTATGGAAGCTGTTTACTAGATAATTTAAAATCCTATCAGCAAGTCGCCCTCTGTCAGTTTAGTCACACCACAGACAATATAGCTTGGCGATAGCTATTTTGTCTTTGGTCACACTGTAAGTCCTGATATTGACTAGAAACGACCATTTAAGATGAATTAGACAGGGTGTTTCAAAACATATGTCGGAAAATGAAGGGTGTGGTTCTTTCGTTCATTCTAAGTAAAAACACACCGCTTTCGAGATACAGGGTGTCAAAGAAACATTTTTTTTCAGTTTTTTGACAATATCTCAGGAATTGTTTGAGATACACAATTCAAATTTTGTACACCTATTACCATTAATATTAACTACTTTTGAGGTCTAATTCAATTTTTATTTATGTGATAGTGGCGGAGATTTTAGGATTACGCGAGGCTCTTTTGCCCCGAATTTTTACGACTATCAGAAAAATGGCATTTTGAAATAAAATTTTAAACTGCTAATGTTTTCTACATAAAAAAGTACCCATAATCAAAAGTCCTAACCGGAACCGTTTTCAAGATTTTTGATGGAAAACATGAAAACATGATAAAAAAATCTAGATCTGTATATTTTGGATTATTTTCTTTGGGGTCACTTAAGAAGTTTAGTTTTTTACACTACATCAGTTAATACTGTTGAAGAATTGATGAATCGCATTATTGCATCCTGCAGTACGATCCGCTCACTCCGACGTAGGTTAGAAGCCAGCATTACCGTAGGAGGATGTTAATAAGAACTTTCTTTCTTAGAATGAGCCAAATAATCACATCATTTTCCGACATGTTTTGAAACACCCTGTATGTTACAGCTCATCCTGTACTTACATTACGGTTATAAGTTTTTTTTTAAACGGAGTAAAAATATAAATAGAAATCGTATTTGTCCGGAAACACAGAGATACTTATATTTATGTCAGTTTTACATATTCTTGATTATTAGAGATTTTTTGGTTAGGTAAAACTATTTTCATAAAAATAACCCTTGACTGATTTATTTGGCGCAAGGGTTTATTTAACTATTTCTTTTTTAAATTGGAGTAATTATTTTCAAGAAAATAAAATCTACTTACCAATCCATGAGAGATACTGTAGTTACATACGCAATTTATTTAATTTACTTAGGTTCTAGTATGGTAAAATAAAATATGTGTCACTTGTAGGATTTTCTGTTGCTCTGATTAATTAACGTGCTTTGACGTATAGTCGGCTACCCATTGCTACATAGGCAAACAAATGATATTGGACATTGGACCGTCCTATTGATGATTACCAGTTATCAGTGGCGGCGATATAATTAAAACTTACTGTGATTAATCGACATACACCAATAACAATTTTAGAGACGACAGAGTTGTCTATTATACAGTGATCTGCACAGAGAATGTGTATATTTTCCCACTTTGCGATTTTTAACCGACATAAAAAACGCATGTGTCTAGAAAATTAATCTTCTCGGTATGTCTACCAAATGAACATGAACCACTGTTAATAATTAATCAAATGAAAAATCTGTGCAAAATTAATATTAGTTTTCTTGACACCATGCAGACTTTTTCTTCTTTTAGTTATGTAGTAGTGACTATGAACAGAATTTTCCACATACTAGTTTTTAATTAATATTAATTGCACCATAATAATTGGAAATATAAGTCCTCTGTTCATTCCAATTATGAGATTAATTACGTATATTATCAGACACAGTCAAGTTATTTTGCCGTTGTAGCGATTTAGTCTGTTAAATATTTCATTAATAATTGCTGCAATATGTAACATCAATCGTAATTTTTGTTTGTATTCTGATTAGTGAAATCTTCATATACGGGATGTCACCTAACGAATGTTACATACTTCAAGGGTATAATCTAGAAGCTTAGTTAAACGAAAAATGTCTCAAAAAACTTGCATGGTGTTAAAGATTCTTTTTTTATTTCTTGTTTCCTCTTTAATACAGAACCCAGTTAACCGATGTAGTATGTAGTGATTATGTTCCTATTAGATTAAATCATACAGGGCATTTATTTTACTACAATCCATCGTGAATATTCTTCTATACATTTAAATTTATACATGCAACTATCAGAAATAGGTAGAAAATTTTATTTTCTGTAATATCTTCATAACCGAGCATAATTTCGTCTTTTGATAAGTATTTATTTTTGTGTAGAATTTCTGGTAGTTGCGAGTAAAAACTTACAGAACAGTATTCACAAAGGGTTTTAGCAAATGAACGCCCTGTATGATTTAACCTAATAGAAACATAATCACTGCACACTTCATGAAGAGAAACTAAGCAACTGCAAATTTTACTCAAATCAGTTAACTGGGTTCTGAGTGAAGAAGAAAACAAGAAAAAGAAACTTTAATACCCTGTAACTTTTTTGCGACAGATAAACTTTTAAGCAAGTTTGGTTAAATCGACACCATTTGGTTTTTAGATTATGCCCCTGAAATATGTAACATTCGTTAGGTGACACCCTGTATATTCAAAGAATCAGACAATTTAACTGTTTTTGATTTTGTAGTACCTATATCTGCCGTATTAACAAAAAGGGTTGGACAATAATACATCCTGTCTGGTGTTATATAATATGTTTATTGACATAATATAAATGATTATGACGCTATTTACAGTAAAATCTTCTAATAAATAATTTACAATATTTTATGAACATGCAAATACATCGCATTTATAATACAGTTAATGTGTTAGATTTATGTTAATGACCCGCTTAAAACAAAATTATTGTCTGTTTCGTCTAGTAAATAAATAATCTACATAACACACCGTGTTTATTTAACAAGTGCCTATTGTCAAGCAGGTACAGTTAATTTACAAAAACAATGAAACATTAATGACCTTTGTATATGGCATGTATAACGTATTACAAAAGTTATAAAGATATTCATTATTTATATGCAGTTTTTTCTAACATACAATTATGTCTTAGTAAACACTTAAATCTTTAGAATTTATTATAATAATTTTGATTTCACTAATTTGCAGATTAATCTGTATTTACAGACATAAGTATTTAAATTTTTAGGCAAATTCTTTCCTTTGACATAGAAACTTTCCTTTTATTTTTCTCTCTAAAACATTATTAATACGAAATTTAACTAGCAAATGTTAGTACCAATAATTATATCACTGATAGTTCTTAGTCGATTTTATTGTTGTCTATGTCTTTATGCACCCTCATCACGATGTGCTTCCCAGACTTTTCTTGAATTGCTTCAACAGTGTCTTCCACCTCAGGGTCTATAATGGGGACTCTATCCGGTGCACATTGTAGATTCACATATCCGGGGTTTGAAACAATTGATAATTGCTCCAAGTCACCCTAAAGTTAATGAAACAATTACTGAATAGTTGTATACAGTGTCATCAACAAAGTACGCGTAATTTCTTTAGTCGAATTTTGGAAAAATTTGTTTTTCTGACCATTTTTGCTTAAAAAATAATGAAAAATTAAGTATTCATAAGTGATAATGATTTTCTACAATCGCCATATTGTACCGTTATTAAAAAAATACCAGTAATGATACTATTTCTGAAAATTTTGGAAAATGACTTGTACTGACAAATGTGATTAATGAATGTCAGCAATTGTATTTTTACTTGTTACCAAAGTAACAGGTAAGCAATGACATCTAGATATCTACAATATAGTGTAAAATGCAAAAAAGTTTGTAAAGCATCATCCTTAACTTTTGCGAGATATTGACAACAAGTAATCAACAATGGTACATTATAATAATGAAATGAAACATCGACTGAAATTAATATTCTGAAATACCGCTGTAGCAACTTTTTTTATTGCATTTACGTAACTTTTCTTTTATGTGAATAGACCCTTTCTGTATATGTGCATACACTTTTAAAAATTATATTAATGCCTCACACAGAAACAACTAATTTGGTTAAACATACCGTGAACAAATATCCGATGATCAAATCAGAGTCCTCAGGTATATCCAACGTGTGGGACCTCAAAATGTCAGTCCTGGACCACTCACAGTCGACGTAACTATCCACGACGCTGTCGTCCCGAATGCTGAAACCAGGACGATTTATTAGGATATGTGGGATATAAATCTTGTTAGAGTTGAGGGAGATATAAATTATTTATACAGGACATTTAGTTTTTGTTTGAAAGAGTTTCTGTATCCCACTTCTGGGAAATTTGTTTTCGGGAAACTTGCGAACTAACCGAAGAATCCGCAGCAAGCGTACTTACATCATAATTTCATATTTGCTCTTTGTAAACTTAATTATATATTCTTTATAACTGCACTGAATTTAGATACATAAAGTACGTATACGTTGTAACCACTGACTTTTGACTTAAACCTGAGATATATTTTTTTGGGGGGCTTCACTGATTAATACAATTTTCTTACACCCAGCCTTAAATAGTTTTTAATGGAAGGATATTTTGATTTTCTACATATCCATCATTAGTACACAAAGTCTTGAGTTCGGTATAAAACACATGCTTCAGCTGTTTTCGTAGTTTTTTATGATTAATGTTTATGCATTTTTGTTTTCACATTTTTAACTTGGTACAATTTTGTCTCGTTAAAAAGTTATAGGTCTTTTTAAAAAATTGTTGATCTCATTTTTTAAGATAACTAACTCATTCCTAAGTATATTTCAATGAATATAGGGAGATTTTTGGGAAGGTGAATATAGATTTGAGATTATATTTTACCAAAACTTGCAAGCAAGTTGTTAACAACATCTTAGGTGGTCTTTTCTTTTCTGTTGGAGGAAACCCGGAGATGTTTTCAGATGCCACAATGTTTACTTAAAAAAGTGTATACTTGCATATGGCTGGCTTTAATTCACAATTCCAGAGAAAAATAGATTTCAATTGTTTACTGTTATCAGTATCTAATCCAAGTAGGTCTATAATGTTCGTGAAAATATTATTGATTGCGATGGAGTCACAACACTGATCTTGTCTACATTCGAAAATATAATACGTAAGTATAATCTTCTTTTCATAAGCGCATTTGGCACAGAATATTATGTATAGAGAAATTTTCAGTGGTGTAGCTTGCCAAATCAGGGATTCGCTTTGAACATATCGCAGATAGAAGGCCAGACAAAGCTTTTGGGATGATTGATGAAAATTGTGTACTTATCTAATCACACGCAAGAAGGGGAAAATATTCTTGCTTTAACGATTTCTCTAAAGGATACGTTTCCAAAGACACAGAAAATAAGGCCAAGAAATAATTCAATATTTAATTCGTTCGTTTCTTCTCTTAAATCCGCTGTCAAAGCAGATTTTCATTTGGATTATGTGTACAGTTAAAATGCTGTATAATACCTACTTGTTTATAAACCTTTCTTAATAATATAAGATTTTTTTATGTACTTATATCCGTTAGGGTATTGTGGGGAACAACTGCTCTGCGGACTAGAGCTCCGTCCACCAATTACAACTGCAATATTTAGTAAGCAGTTAAAATTCACAGTCCAACCCCAAAACTTATTTGTTTTCAACGATATGCCATAAATGAGATGACAGACAAATAATCTCTCAATTGGAAAAAAAGAACACAAGACAAGGACAGACATTGGTATGAAAAAAATCAGGTCTAAAGTTAATGTGATTACTCGAAAGAAAGACTATAATCGGATACCTATTTCGTAGAAGATTAGTACAACGAACTGATCCAGGAAACGCGAATGAAGTGAATCACGAAAAGAAGGTATTATATCCATCATAATACGGTAGCTAATAAATCTTCAGGAAATATCTAACATTAAATTTTTTACTGGCTGTTTAGGAGCCTTATGAGATATCTACCTATTACGGTTTCTGAAATTATATTAATCAAGACCGAATATAAATGTGAAAAAAGGAATGAAATAAGGGGAATTTTAATAAAGACGGATAATTAGATAATTAGATAATTAGTTCTACTAAATAGGAAATTAATGAAAACATCGTTTAATTTAGAATTTACAACAAAATCTGAGTGCTTTACATCTGATTTAAACAAACTTATCTTATTCTAAAGATTATATCAGAGTGTTTTAAAGACGCTCATTAAAGTCTGATTAAAGTAATAAGTAAAATAACAGATGATGACTTGAAAAATAGTTTTACGTTCTTAAAAAGCAGGGCAAAGTACATCAAGATGATGCTTATAGTCCAATTAAATGGTCCTTTAAATCTCAATTTTGGTCAACTTGCATGAATTTTTATATAAGTTAGTTTGAGGTATATAATAACAATAAGTCACAGTAATTTTAAATAAAGGGTTTTTTCAAAACTCAAAAGGAATAAGAGCTAGAAAAAAAGTTGTAGAGCATAGAATTCAACATAAAAATGGTTCATTCACTTCTTATTGTACTATTAAAATTAACAGAGTTAAAGTGGCTAGAAGTTAAGGGATGATTTCAGAAATATAAAAAAAAAATCGTAACAAGCAGAAAAAAGATAATTTTATAATTTTTTTTCAATCTACTCTAAAAAATGTAAACTTTCTTTTCAGAGAAATAGATATATTTTTTATTTTTAATAAAAAACAACAATTTCGATTTTTTAATCGTTAATTTTTATGATATAACACTAAAACAATTTTTTTCTATGCCATGCGATTGATTATATAAAACAATGAAAATTTGCTTTCGAAATTTTGTTTTACGACAAAGATAAAAAATCACGTTCGCTTTGTGTTATGTTATAACTTTTTTATTAAAAATTCAAAAATATATCTATTTCTCTGAAAAGATAGTTTACATTTTTTAGAGTAGATTGAAAAAAATATATAAAATTCATTCATTTGGCCGGGGGTTAAAAAAAATTATTCACTTATTGTTATAATATAATTCAAACTAACTTAAGTATATCAAAAATTCACGCAAGTTGACCAAAATTGCGATTTAAAGGCCCATTTAATTGGACTATTATCTCCATAGGACGCGCTGCTTTCGAGAAAATTACAAATGTGTTCTCATATTCAATCTATCAGGATGGGTGTTAAAACCAAATTTTATATGTTTCTCACTTTATCGAAAACATATGAGTACCTTTTGTAATTATCCTTTTCTTTCAAAAAAATGCCACTATGTACTTTTGTCAAAATTTTAATTAGTAGAAGTACTGCTCAAAAAAAGTATGCCGTTAAAGTGATTTCATTTATCATGGCCACATTCAAATAGTGCAGATATATTACGTGATAAATCAGCAGTCAGGAGATATCTTTTCATACCTAGATTTCCGGTATCAAAGAAAATTGTTTGACTTCAAACAAAAGATGTAACCGAGTGCTACATCTAGTGGCCTATACTACTAACTGCCTGAGACCTACAAAGAGGCCAAGAGATGGCAGAAAGCGACCTGTATTGCAAGTACTATGAAAGCGTAACCAGTGTTGCCACTGTGAGGACGAAAACAAAATTTCAAGAGTTGTACTGCCAGTATCAACTACTCTATGCCTGTACGGCATCGGTACGCCTCGGCTAGCATTGAATTACACTAGGAACATTCACTGTTCACATTACTTGCAATACAGATCTCTTTCTACCATTTCCTGAATTTAAAGAATCTAAGCAGCTGTATCGTTCGTCGGTTGTCGCACCTATGACATACTGATGAGGGCTAACAAGTCCGCAAATAGTATTATGTGTGGTGTGCTCGGTCGACTAATGATCCTAGGTATATTAATGATATTGTTGGTGTAATTGAATACTAGTCAGGGTATATAACCTGCAGCGTAGTTGCTTCTGTTAATGCCAATATCATCGCACTTAATTGTTTGTCTTCATTTGATAAGATTTTTTAGATATTATTTTAATTTGTTTGAAGCTAATAACAGAATATATGATTTTTCTAAAACCCTGTATCGTAATAGAAAATATCTCAGTAAAATTTCCTGTTGCAAATTTATATTTCCCTCCAACTTTCCCGAAATACCATTTCAGTAAAGATATTTATCGGGCAATATTCCAAATTTTCCGCAGAACTAACGCATGCACAAGCTGACCTGACTGCAATTTGGTGCCAGTGGCCATCATCCAATTCCGCAGGTATTCTGACTACGTCGGTGCCGTTTTCTGCGGCGTGTATCAGCTTAAGGTCGGATCCTGCAACCTCTAAGGACAGGTAAGTATCCTGTCGACGCCTTGAGCGCAGGCTGAATATTGTTCCCATAGTTCCCTGTAAAAGACGTTACACTGTAAGTAAACAGAAACGTTGAACGAAATATTTTGTAAGTAATAAATTTATGCTATTTGAGGAAACTTTTTAGATAAACAGAAACGATGTCCAGAAGTATTTAAGAGAGAAAAAGAAAATAATAATTGCAAATTTTCATTAAATTGTTAATGTTTCATCCAGTTTTCATCGTTTCTTTTGTCTAGAAATGAAGAGTACGCGTCAAGATCGTGTAGTAAACGCCTGTAAGAAGGCAACCGCTCTCTTACATACATGGCGGCGCACCCTTCTGAACGCTCAATCGCTTTGTTTATAGCTTCAAATAACAGTGGAAAACACAAATTTTCACACTGCAATTACTCACAATTTGTAGTATTTAACGTGAACTTTCAAACGCTGTCAGCAGAATTACAAAATACCTATTCAATCAAATGTTATTAACAATTGAAAATCGCAAAAATCGCATTTTTCGAGTTTTTAACGGCGTTTATCTCGAAAACTATGAGTTTAACAAAAAAATTTCAAGAGACATTTTCTTCTTAAAAAAGGTCAAAGAACAACACACACTTTTATTTTGCCAAAAACTAAATTTTCAGTATATTGCAAGTTTTTTGTTTATAAAAAACTTACCGACATCCGGGCAAACTTCTACTCAAAAAAATTGTGTTCTGCAGCTCAAAATACACAAAATACATCTGGATAACTCCATCTAAACGAAGGAGGCAATTGGGACCCCCATTTAGAATGTAACAGAACATTTTGAGGGTTCAGTTTAATGAAGTTGCATTAAGAAAAATTAATTAATTAATTATTTATAAGTTTCTAAGAAAATTAGTACTGTTAAATAAATTACGTGACTATAGCGTATGATACTTGTATTAAATTTTCTTAAGTTCATAGTTATAAATTTTAGACAAATAAAAGATTTAGAAATAAATCATATGACACACAAAAACCATTTACTGATTAGATCTTAATTAAATGTCCAATGTCTGTCTCGATAAAATAAATAAAACTTTAGAAGATTACGTCTTTGTGTGGCGTTCGGCAAACAACATGGCAATTTAATTTTTCTTATTGTATCCGCCGTTTTATTGCCAATAAATTATTATATTTGAAGGGTTTCCAATATGTGAAAATTGTTATCTAAGTGAAATACGTTCAGGGGTGGTGTCAAAGGAAGCACCAATTACAAAAATTTCATCGATGAAAAATGATTTGTAGAGATTGTACTTCTAACAAAGTTTATATTGTAATGTATTTTTATTTAGCTATACAGGGTGAGGCAGGACAATCTCTCCAAACTCCAGAATACGTTAAAATAATAAGAAAAAACTCAAATGTTTTTATGCGATTTTCATTTTTTTTCAAGTTATAGTGAAATTACAAATTTAAGAAATTTGAATTAGAGTATGTCCTGTTCCAAGTTCAAAAGTAGGATATTTGTCAGTGTCATTGTATGTTGCAAGATTAATTTGATTACACGTTTGCACGATCAAAGTGATACAAAATGCCAAGAACTTATCCAAATTCAGAGTATGCAAATATGGTGCTTGTTTATAATTTTTCTAATGAGAATTCTAATGCTGCTGTTGAAGAATATCGTCAAAGATTTCCACACCACCCTGATAAAAATATATTTATCAGAGTTTTTAACAAACCCTGCGAAACTGGAAAGCTTCCCAGTACTAGTATAACATCTGAACGAGCTCATTGACAAGGTTTAGAAGACGTTGAAATTATTCTGGGTCTAGAAGATGAGGAAACTACTAGCTCTTGAAGAATTGCTCAATTGGGCATTCCACAAAATAGAGTAATATAAACCCTCCACGAGCTAGGCTTATATCCGTACCATGTACAGAGAGTACAACACCCATAGCAGGAAGATTATGCTAAGCGTAACGAGTTTTGTCGATGAATCAATAATAATCATCTTGTAATCCCGCATGCTTTCTATGGATGATGGATTCAGACGGCACGGCATAACTAATACTCGGAATTTTCATGTATGGTCAGACGAAAATCCTCACGCAACCCTCAAAAGTAATTTTCAGCATAGGAACATTTAGTCGAAGAACGCTAGGATTCATAGAATATCAGTATATTATTTTTTTATTTACTTACGTCATAACTTGGAAACAATTGAAGATCGCATAACATTTGACCATGGTACGATTTTCCCGAAGCACCCCGTACAGATATAGTTTTATGTTTTGTGGGAAATTAGTTTTGGCTTACTATTATTAAGTAATTTCCTGATCGTATATTGGGTTACTGTTTTGCAATATCAACATTTTCTTTATTTTATGGAGATATTTGGCAAATGTCAGCCCCAATAGGTGGTCATTCACATTCCGTTCAGAGAGAATTCAGGCTAACAGACGCTTGAATAACTTTAAAATTTGTTGGATATTAAATACAGCTTAATTAAAAAAAAAATTGCAATGTTATATACAATATGAAATTTCTGTAGACATTCTTTTTCCTTCTTTACAATCAAATTATCTTTAAAATGTAAAAACTTCGACGTAACCCTCTGCCCGATAAAAAAAACAAAAGGTCAGCGATAATTAACTTCATTTGTCAGTGGAAAATCGTTAGGTCACCATAAGCTGCTTAGTGTTTTTGACCGATATATTGATAATATCAGAAATAACAATAGAAAACATTTTATACTGTTACTCTAATTGTCAATATTTTATTTCATCAGTATTTTTTATATACGTACCTATTATATAGTGGTTTTCACTATATCAGTTTACTACAATCAGTTTTTGAATATTATTTTATAATTTTAACAAATTATCAACAATAACTGATAAATTCTTCGTTGCAAGTCAATTTTTATTTTTTTTGCATTGTTGGGCATGTTTTTAAACTGTGAGTACAGATTTTTTTATTTCACCAAAAAGTATATGTCAAAACGAAAAAGAATATTACCGGCATAACTATGTACGATGATTTTTCTAAGTTGAATTTTTCTTAAAAAAAATGTATTTCAGGCCGAAAAAAAAATATCTCAGAAACTTCTTGATTTTTTTTATCTAAAAAAATTTGTGGTTATTAAAGACACATAAAGGTATACACTCACCAAGTTTCGTTAAAATTAAATTATTTTTGCGGAAATGAGAAATAAAAAACGAAAAATCAGAAAAAAAACGGTTTTTCGCATTTTTCTCGGAAATTTTGAGGTTATGTTAAAAAGTGACTTCTACAAAAGTTGTAGATTTTTGTATGATCTACAACTTTTGTATTGCATACTTTTTTGTTAGATGCCAACTTTCGTCAGAAATCCCAATGATGCAATTTTTCAACCCTCCGCCGTCCCTGTTCACGCATTTATTTTGTTCAGATTTATTATAAGTACTTTTACCATTTCCACTTATAAAAGTCCATGTAACAATTTTTTTTCTCCAAGTGTAATTTGGTTGGACTGATATAAATTCTCCTCCGCTTGACTTGCAAATTCACAAAATGTGCATGTACAGAGGTGGATTATAAAAAAACATATATTATCTCAGTAGATTCATGTAATTTTGAAAAATAACTTTCTCTGAAATCATTTACTATCAGTTAAAATACGTACACCTATGCACACGATTAAGGTTCACCCTGTATGAAAGCTCGTTCTTATTTTATTTTACAGTATGCACATCATAATACAGAAATTAAATTAATATGTTACTGAAGTTTTGTTATATACAATTCATATCATAGATACTTGTTTCTGAAATCAGACATCATTTTCATATTATAAAATCAACAACCATAAAGCACTCGTACATAGATTTATATATTTGCGTTTGAGCTTCGATATAATTCTCCTTTCATGACTAGAAACTAGGGCATTCATCATTTATATGATATAAAATCGATTTCTGGAATAAATGCACGCAAAGTTTCTCTCTGCGATATCACGTCATTTATAGTTGATTGAAGTTGATTAAAAATTTTGTAATAACATTAGATATGTTTCGTTCCAATTTAAGAACTTTTAAATAGGATGGAAGAAGAAATATGTAGTATCGTAGTTTCATTTTATAAATATTACATTAATTAAAGCGCGTAATATTATCGAGCAATTCCTAAATAGATCTGATATTTCACTCAATTTATATACTTTAAAAATTAATAACATTGTCCAATAACACCAATTCTTCAAGCTCTTGATACATCGTAGCACAGAATAAATAGCGTAGCTATATATTCTGTGATCGTAGATATATAAAATGAATGTCAGGATTCACTTTCTAGTTTTATGCTATTACAAGCGACAAATAAAAAAAATATTCGGAAATTTGGATTAGGTTTCATTTAGGCTATTTAAAAGGACAGTTTTTTCTAAAGCGGAAGTAATATTTAACGAAGAAGAAAGTTAGATCGTATTTTAATGAATGTAATTAGCCATCCAAAATAAAAATGTGCAAGTTCCACTGGCGACATATTTCGCTGAAATTTGTATTCTTTGGAGAAATCTAAACGGAAATACATAGAACAATAATATATTTCCTTTATTATCCTTGGGAAACAGAAGTTGTACTATTACTCACGATTATTTAAATTTAAATGAAGTTCTAATGTAGTTCGGTTAATGCAAATAAATTCCGAAATTGTAAACTGCGTTTTTGTCATTATAATGGATGTCATGAAGGTCATTATTGAGTATTCATATTGTATTTATAAGGACAAGCTTAACAGGACTTATTCTGTAAAAGTTATGGATGTGTGAATCTTCAAATTTGTGAAATTTCCACCTCCAGCTGTCAGTCCTGTGGTACTTAATCAGTGACCAGGAAATTTCTGGGTAGGATAATTTTATATGTGTAGTTATTTCACAAGGAACATTTTTTATTTAATGCATTCCAATAGGTTGAGTACATTTATTGTTTTCAAATAATACAAATAATCTGCGACGTGTTTCCACAATGTTTAATAGCTCCTTCCTGGTTATACAGTAGTTCTTCTCTTGTTTCCACTGAAGTAATCTATGACTCGTTCTTATCCATCCTAGATTTGTGATAAGACACCTCATATTCCAGTATTGCTATCACCTGCATCGACTATGAATTCTTCACCAGGTTGTGCTTAGGATAATACCTGTGGTGAACAAAGAGCTTCTTTAAGTTTTTCAAATATCTGCTTATATTATGGAGTCCAATCATAGAATTGGTAATACTCTAGCAAGATCTGCGAATCCTCGAACAAATCTCTTGTAATAAATAGGAGTAGATACCTAGGGAGCTCCTTAATTGATGTTTGTCATTTGGAATAAGCCAGTTTCGTACAGCTTCAGTTTTCCTGGGATCAGTCTTAACTCAATTTACTGATATAATGTTAACCCAAGTATTCTCTCTTTGAAAGAAGTTACTCTTGTCGGAATTCAATTTTAGATTAGCTCCTTTAAGGAGAACGCATTAGCGGTCGCGGTCCGTTCTGGACTGAGCTGATCGCGGCCTTTTCCAAAATCAGTCGCATTTGGCAATCGTACACAGTCCTCCTCGCGCTTTTCTTTAAATAGTTGAGGTATTGTTTTAGTAGTTAAAAAAATGAGTTATATAGAAGAGGAAGCTCTTCTAGATCGCATCGCGGTCTGCCGAGATTCTTTGGAAAAGATCGGTGGAGAACGCGATGCGAGGGAGACGAGCTCGGGAACGTCTAGTGCGAATGCATATATTATAAAACATGGGAACGAACTAGTACGGTCCGCGATGCGATGGGACCGCATCCGCCTAATGCGTTCTCTTCTTTAATCTTCTTGAAAATATCCTCGACGTTCCTCGCATATTCGTCAAGGGTCTTGCTCAATATAAGAACGTCATCGAGGTGTACAGGACAGATCTTCCAGGTAAATCCTTATCGGTCTCATGAGGTTGCAGAGGTCAAACGGTATGACTTTGAAGTGCCACAAACCTGTCTCCATAGAGAAAGCAGTCTTTTCTTTGGATCTACTTGTACTTGCCAATAACCACTTTTGAGATCCAACGTAGAAAACAATTTTGCATTTGCCAAGGTGTCTATAGTGTCTAGGTAGAGGATAACTGTCTTTATTTGTTATATCGTTTACCCTTCTGTAGTCAATACAAAATCTGGTAGAACTGTCTTTCTTGTGGCTAACACTACTTGTGAACTCCGTGATCTATTCGATGGTTCGATTACACCTTAATCTATGTTATTAACTTTTGCAACAACGAACTATTTCATGTTGGTTTGCCAACAGGAATTACCATCATAAGCTGGGAATTGAATTTTTGCTGTACCTTGATGACACTTTTTGGCATATCCTCAAATATTGTACTTCTTTTTCTATGTTGTCGAATATGTGATCTACGATTATTTTATCTACATATTTCTATCTTAATGTTGCTTATCCTACTGGCTTGTTCAATTAAATGTTTCTTCATTATACTTTTGATTTCGTCTTTCATAGGTATTCCCCATGTAGCCAGTGCATACTATCCTGTCTTAATATTAAATCTTAATGCATTTTGTCTTGTCTTCATATCAGATCTTAGTGCCTATAACCTGTCTTGTCATTAATTTATCTTGTTCTGTTCTCATAGCCATCATAATTTCTATTAGCTATTTCGTTGACTTCTCTATTTGTGGTACTTGTACTCGCTGGCATATTCGCTGTTGTCTCAACTAATAATCCTCAGGATCCCGCTTCTGACACCAGTTTGAACTTAATTTCCTTTATTTCGCACAATGAATGCACAACACTTCACAATAACTTAACCTCCAATAAAATCTGCAGCCATTTATATTAGATTTCGTTGTTTCTCGAAATTTCTATGGGTTTTTAAGAATAATCTCTCAGCTTCTGAGAACATGATAGAAAGAAACATCATGAAACAAGTAAATAAAAGTACATATAAGCAAAGCACACTAGGGTGACGTTTGCTACAGTATTATAGCTTATCACTAAACATTATACTGTTTGGTTTGGTATAAGTGGGCAAGATTGGATTTCTCCACTGAGTAGTCCAGTGTTTCTGAAATAAGGAAGAGGTTTCAGGAAACTGATTACAAATAATAAATTGGACCACGTACAAAAGCCCCGTAGGCCCACGTCCGAAAAATCTCAATAGATATAAAGAAAAATACGGCATAAACTTACATTATGTAGTCTCATAGTCACAAATAAGGCGAACTCCCTGGGGAAGGGGCGGTTTTTCTCGTCGGAGAAGAGCTGGGTGGAGGGCACCCAAATGTAGGAATTGGGCCGAAGACGCCATGCCGTCGGCCGATCGGGGACGGCCTGCCATCGGTCTTTCGTGGGGTGAAAAAATCGCCTCTCCTCGAGAGCCAGCGGATTTACGGTCTCGCCACAGCTGAAACAAAAAAAAAATAGAGAAAAAATGTCGGTGTCGTCTATTACACGTAATTTATTACCGAGATAAATGAAGCCAGCGTCTAAGGCGGGATGTTGTTTTTATAAAAAAGTTTAGTTACTGTCGACGCGATTTTTGTCGAATGAAATTCTTGGGGAAAGTACAGGGGGAAAGCTTTTATATTAAGAGTAGACAACGGATAAAAGTAGGTATCCATATTTCACGTGTGCTATTAGATTAATTTTAATATAGCAGCGTAAACATTTTTATGTATATATGTATTATTTGTCATATAAAATAACGAAAACAAATACAATCCCCTCCTAAGTTCCTATCAAATAAATGTTAGTTGTTTTACAGAGAAGAATGATAGATATGTCAGCCTGTTGTTTTGTTGTTTTCTATCCGTCATTCTCCGTTATCCTTGAACATAACCAAGTGTCATACCATAAAGTCATTGTTATTAATAATAGTTCTGCTATTAAATATTCCAAATCTTTAATTTGGTAGAAAACACTATTTTGTGAAAACGACGCTCCTAAATACACAATAAAGTGGTTACTTCTTTGTCAAACTTTAAGGACAAGCTAAACATTTTCCCGTGAAATTCCTCTTTTTAAAATGCAGTGAGTTAAAATTTTTAAAAAAATGCAACCCTAAATATTTTCACACAATATAAGAATAAAATGTCTTTCAATGTGAAAAAATCCATTCTCAATATTTCGACCACTGCCGTATACAGGGTGATTCAGAACTTATCCAAACAAAAAATTCTGGATGTACAGGGGACCCTTACAAATACAATTTTGTAAAGAAAAAATCAAAAAGGTCAGTTCGAAATTGATTTAAAAATACACTTCTGCACGGCACTGGAAACTGGTCCACTGTAAAACCTGACCTCGCACAATGCGACCGGTATGGCGGCGTGATAAAAACGGACAAAAACTTTCGCAAGGAAAGAAATATGTAAATAGAATTTTATCGCACCTATTTTATATCGGCAAATTCAAATGCTTTTGCCTTTATTAATTATTAATAAAATTAATTTGTGTTTTTAAATAATAAAATCATTTGACATAGCCGATGCTGCAACAGCAATTGTTCAAAATTTTATCCACTCACGTGTAAACACATTTGGGTCCGTCTTACTCACTTTCTACGAACTAACACAAATACTTCACCATAATACAAGTGTTGTGTTGCTTCACCATAAATTAAAACGATATCCATCAACTCTGAGTTGCTATACACGCAAGCCATTTTTGACACTAACTACTAAAAAACTGATGTAAATACCACAGATAACAGGTAAAAACTACCGCAACGACGGATTTCAGTACTAGGAGTCACATGGCTCTCCACGCGTATTGCGAATGACGCTAGAGACTACAGTCGTCCAGCTATGTAGTCGTTTAATGTGCTATAACTTCAATAATTTTTTTCTTAGAAACTATAAGGATTTTACAAAAATTTTTTTTTACACTATTGACTCCATTTCTCATGCCGCATCTATTCCCAAATTTTTTTGGATTAGTTGTGAATCACCCTGTATATGAGGTATGCTTATTTGACATCAAGATATTTTTTATATTAATTAACCACTCTTCTTCATCTGAAAATTTCTTTTTTAATTCTCTCAGTTAAGGTTCTTTGACAAAAGATAAACCATAATGCTTTGTAATGAAAAATGAGCTTGGTTAAAAAATGTGAAGAAAAAAAGAAAAACAGAAGTTGAATGTCGCTATTTCGTTATAAGTTTCTCAGAAATGTCCAAGTTTAAAAAGTCTACCTCTAAAATATTAAAACGAAAATCATATTTTCAATTTCGGAAAACCATTTCTTTTTTCACTATAATTTTTCAGTACATCGCTCATACAAATTCCTCTAAAATTGTAGTCGCTTTCACTTATTATACAGGGTGTTACAAGAAGGTAGGTCAAGCCGTTAATTTCAAATTCTTTGGAAAAAAAATGCCATTTTAGTCTCTTACAAGGTACAGGGCATGAAAATTATAATAAAAAAGTATTACTAACTATATTTTAAAATGTTTAATTGAAACTTTGCTTGGATTTTAATTCTAGGCTGGAACTTTTCTCTGCGATTTTAATTTCAAAAAATCGAATCATAAATGGAGGAACTGAGGGTTATGGTTCTCATTGTCCCCCTTACTTTTTTTGGGCATGTCTTTAATTCAAATGTATTAGAGCAAAGGTTCTTGTATTTTTTTCATCTTTCTAGACTTTTGATTTAAGATTTATAATTTACGAGATGTAACTTCCTTGAATATGTGATTTTGATCCATTTGCCAAGTTTATTTTCCCAATTTGTCTTAAGCGACCAATAGAAGTAAGCTTTATATAACTAAATATTACAACCAAAATAATTTTGGTTGTAACTAACATTTTTGGAAAATTATTTTGTCTTTATAGAAGGCTAAAAGTATAAATATTGCAGCAGTCTCTCTCATTCGTGACGTCATTTAGTGTGCCCAACAAAACAACCTGCTTGTTGTTCGTCTATCGTCTAGTCCTAGTCTACAAACCCATGTAGACGAGAAGAAACCTAATTTAAAGAAACGCGCATGCGGGGAGCCTCAAAATAAAGGGACTCTAGACTCTTGTTGCCCTTACTGTCAGCACGTCCTGATCCTGATATTTATCTTCTCGATAGCATAGAATGGCGTCACGAATTAGCGCATAAATTATTACTAATTAACAACATCAAAGAGATTTCTAATATTTCCCCATGATTCTATACAGTTATTTACACTACATGATATATACAAAATATTTGCAAGTTGCCCATTGCATTTAAAAGAGAACGGATTTATTAAGATAAATATATTTTTTTTAGATTTTAACTTTGGTTCCCTGTATTTTGAAAAAGAGACAATTAAATGAAAAATGTCACAAATAAAGTGCTATTATTTTCTTTCAGTGAATCTATAGTTGATGCAGTTTTATCCTGTGATATAATGATATCATTAGATCGCAGCATGGCAAAAAAGCATTAAAAACAAGTAAAAATCAATTTGATCTAGTCTCCTGCTCGGTGGTTGTTTACGACGAAGCATCATACGCCTGAATGATGTACGGGCAATCTCAGCCACTCACTCACAAGAAATGACAAATGACAACGTCAGGGGGATAAAATTCCCTCAAGAAAATTGAGGTAACCGTAAACATATTCGGGCACACGAGGAAGTAATTTAATGGTAGCTATTTGTATGGCCTTTTCAAAGGACATATTCAATTTTTTTATTTGATTTTGAAGGAAATTGGTTGATGTCTGAAAAATACATCAAAAGTGCGGACACTGACATAAAGATAATCAATTCGGAAGTAAATAAAATTTATGTTTATCTTTGACGATTTGTTTCGACGCAAAAATCAGTGCTTAATCGTTAAGCATTCATTTGTTCAAATTTTAGCCGGTATCTAGGTCGTTTGGTAGGTAATAGAATGAAAAGAGATCCAATCCAGTTAGGAATATGTGAAAAATGAAAAAGTGGGAAATGTAAATGTTTGCTAATTGCGGCATCCATTAAAATTTTAATGGACAGCCATTAAATGTATTTTAAAAAATCTAAACTAGTAATACATATATGGTCGTTTTACAGAGAACATAACAGAATTGATATACAGAGTGTTTCAGAAAGACCTCCCGTAAATACAGGGGGTGATAGTACGACAAAACATAAGAATTGTTTGTCATATGAACTATATTACTATCTCCTCTTGTTTTCGAGATACAGAGCGACAAAATAAAATTTTATAAATAGAATTTTTGCGAAAATTTCCAAACGGTGCGAAATATTTTTATGAAATTTGGTATTCCGGGGTTTTTAAGGATAATATGCTGGTCAAATTATTTTTTGGATATTTCATAGAGGGCTCTATTTATGCTACATTCCTACATTTTAAGTTGTAATTTTTTTAAGGTTAGGTTTTTTAGCAATCGGGCTCCAATTTCTAATGTACAATTTTATTTTCCAAAAATAATGTTCTCTTGATAGAACTTCCTAATGTGGACGATTTTCCAGAAAAAAGGCTTTTAATTAAATTCTTACAATATTACGGTAGGTACCTACAAAATAAGTGAGTTTTTAAAGTAGGCTTATGTCAAAAATTATTGATGGATGTCTCATAAACAACGCACACATTTTTATAATATTTTAAATTCTAATTAACCTTACATCTAAATTTTAGTCATTGTTAGTGACTGTTAGTAACGGCTAATTAAATACTGTAAAAAAAAACAATGTCGTTACAATGCATCATTCCAAAAAATATAATTTAAATGTTTTGTTGCTCTTAGGGACAATTTAGTATAACTAAACTTGATCTTCTGCTTTTTATAGAATATTAAATCTCCATTTTTACTGAAATGTCTCTCAAATGTCGTGTTTTTATATAATTTCGATCTTGATATGAAGTCAATGTTCATTCAGCTCAGGGTCGATTGTCAAACGAAGACGATTNCCTCTTGTTTTCGAGATACAGAGCAACAAAATAAAATTTTATAAATAGAATTTTTACGAAAATTTCCAAACGGTGCGAAATATTTTTATGAAATTTGGTATTCCGGGTTTTTTAAGGATAATATGCTGGTCAAATTATTTTTTGGATATTTCATAGAGGGCTCTATTTATGCTACATTCCTATTACATTTTAAGTTGTAATTTTTTTAAGGTTAGGTTTTTTAGCAATCGGGCTCCAATTTCTAATGTACAATTTTATTTTCCAAAAATAATGTACTCTTGTTAGAACTTCCTAACGTGGACGATTTTCTAGAAAAAAGGCTTTTAATTAAATTCTTACAATACTACGGTACCTATACAAAATAAGTGACTTTTCAAAGTAGGCTTATGTCAAAAATTATTGATGGATGTCTCATAAACAACGCACACATTTTTATAATATTTTAAATTCTAATTAACCTTATATCTAAATTTTAGTCATTGTTAGTGACTGTTGTTAGTAACGGCTAATTATATACTG